TTGCAATCAACGTACAAGAACCGCAGCGAGAAATATCAACGACGAGTATGACCGCACAATATCCGTCCCGTACACGAAGTGGACGAATATACCAATCGGGATCATAATGAAGAACTTCCAAAAGAAGAAGGATGTGTTGTAATGTTGTTTGAATTGGTCGTTTTGTTTTACTGCATCAATTGCATTTTTATGATTGGTACGTACAAGACTTTAAATTTGCCGGCCCGAACAATCTGATTGGTTCAGGTTTATATATAAACGCCAATGATTCGCTTCCCAAATGTGATTTGTGTCCAGTGGACTAGAGAAAATATATTGAGAGCATTTCCTGAAGAATCGACTTTTGACAAAGAAGATAGCCCTTCAACTGACTGAGTAATTTGAATTTTACAGAGCATAAAATTAGCGAGTTATGCGAAACTTTCCCTAGAGCGATCCGCTTGGATGTGCCTTGGTGTCTGTGCTACATTGCAATGAAAGAGGGAACTTTTATTAAGCAAGCAAACTATTTTTCGGTTCAAATGTGATTAGCATTGAGGAGTGATGAACAATGTAACCCGGGGAAACGCTCTGCTTTATCGAAGGACTATGTGGACAGGTATATTTCTGAATAGCTAGATTAGCATGGAGTAAACTCGTTTGAATGAATTCGTGCATGAACCGTTTGAGTGTAGTAGAGCAGATGTGCCGTAAGTGGAAACGTGCTTGGATAGGATAAACGAAAAAGCACAGCGAGAAAAGCTACAATGATGAATTAGTCATGTAAATAAAGCATGAGTTGAAAAGCTAGCGAAGATTAAACAGCCCGCAACAAGCTGACAAAGATGGGTTGTGCTTTATTGTGTATATTCGGAAGGAAAAACTGTCCAATTAACGGCCCGTTGGTCAAGTTGGTAGTATACTTTGGTTCTAAATTTGAGGTCCCCAGTTGGATCAATGGATTTACGCACTGATGATGCTACCGAGCTACGTAGAAAAAGCTGTTCAGTACCTCCTTACTTTCGGTTCACATTTCGATGACCCTATTCATGAAAAGATTTCCCGTATGATGAAACATCAGCTTAAACACGTAACCATTGCTCTCGGATCCTTTTCGATAACCCCCATGATCATTATCCCCTACCGTCACGGGTTGATCATTATTTGATTTGATATACCCACTGTGTTCGTTGATCGATTATTGTACTAATGTGAACAGCTTATTTGCATATTTTTTTGAATTAGAAATTTAGTTTATTTCGAGAATCGTTTTCTGTTAATTTTACAGCTCCAAATTTGGTTGCCTCTCCCCCTCCCCCAAGGTTTCACTGTTCCTCATCCGAGAAAATAAACGGAATGACGTACTCAGATGAGGTAAGTTCGAGCTCCAAAAGTGCCTAGAATTTTCTGATATGAAGCTTTTTCAATCCAGTTCTATTTTTCTGTTCCGAGGGATAGTTAAATATATACTGATTTCACCAACTGGCAACCGGTCGCAGAAGCTACAGGTTATTGGGTCTAACGTAACGACAGATTCACCTAGTTCCTCTGCATGCAAACCCAAATTACCATAAGCTATCGGTCCCTACGTTATCAATTAGTGCTTGTCTGATTTTGGTTAATGTGACTGACAAGGCCTTTTGTGGTCACAGGTTGTTCAGTCTTTCTTCGCTGTTCGTGTATGTGACTGACCGAACGAGCCAAACAGGTACGATACAATAAATATCCCTATCGTCCATCCGCGACGCTAGTTAACTCATATTAGAAACAAGAATGTCAGGGTTTTGAGAAAACTGGACAGTTCCACTTATACGCGCAACCACTTTTCAGCTCCAAAATCATGCCGGGACCACTGAGAGCAAAAAGCCATAGAGGATCAAATCCGCTTGAACTATTTTCACATTTCCACATTCAATAACCATAGGTTAAAAATTTATCATCTTGCTCCCATCACCTCAAACCACCTTCCGCAAAACAAGACATTCCAATAAAATAACGGACAATTACTGAAATGAGATACTTGTCTATCTCGTAGATTGCAGCTCAGATTACGGACACTTCGGTAGCATGGGTTTATCACAAGATAATTATACTAACCACATGAAAATAATAATAATAATGAATACTAATAAGTACTACTAAGTACTACTTATAATACGTCCTTATCTATTTAATGCCAGAACGGGAGTCACGGCCATTCAAAGGTTACTCCATTTCCAATGGAACTATCCCTTGAAGCCTCATTACACAAATTAAGCCCCCTCATTTGTGTTAGTATACTCTGGGGATTACGAGTTCTGTACCAGCAATTAGCGTCGATGATCTGTCGAAAAACTGCATTGGATGACTCCATCAGAACATGAAATTCATGTGGTTACGATGTTCAAAACTGATCTTAACGGAGTCATGTTTTCTTATATAGAATCTGATAGGTGAAATTATCTGCCCAGTTCCATAACCAGTTCATTAATCGGTCTTGTACAATACCGTTCTTCATTAAACAGCAATATACTCAATGTTTGCTTATAACTTTCGCAAGAATTCCAATTCGCACTGTAAACTGCTACTTACTGTTGACGAACAGTTAGATTAATTTCCATCTGGTTATCAACCAAGGTGTGTGTACCATTTGGCGGGATTTGCAAACTAACTGAAACAGGACAAATTCCAAAATCATACAATGGAGTGACGCAAAATGGAAAACTAAAGTTCCATCTTCTTCGCTTGTGTCTGTCTACTTGTCTATCTTTTGTTCTGTCCGTTTGTCCTGTTACTTTGTTGTCTTTT